GCAAAGGAGTAACTATTGGCTTTGGGGTGTCCTTCTCATTTGTTAGATTATCTGCAAAGTCATTATCCTTTGCACACATCATGCTACTCTTGAGTCGGATGTCTGCAGATGCATTAGACTAGAATTCTACCCCACATATATCGATTGACTCATGTCGACCTCATACATACGTCGACTGTGAGCCTCTTGTCGCACAAGCTGGTTTCTTTTCTTCATCTAAAAGGTCTCTCAGCAATGCAATACAAGAGCCGCGCCCTACTACAGAGTGGACATCAGTATTATTTTCCATTATGCCGTGATTGTCGCCGAGCTTGGTTTCGAGATGGATTCCATAGTCTATAGCGGCGAATAACAAAGAAAGGATGCTAACCAGTTTAATAGACAAGTAAATATACACCACAGTTTTCGTATCAGCCGGATATAGTTTGATGGCTGTTCGGTCCGTATAGCTTGGAAAACTATAGGCTCACGCTGAGGCTACAAGTTACTATTGAAGCTCTCTCGAATTCTCCTATCAGGGCTTTGCATATTTTGCTTCACCTATAAAAGTACAAATCCTTCATGCTAGTAGGACACGGCTAGGTTGTGCTCATATCCTATAGGAGCATGGCGCTGTGGTTGGACAGGAGCAGCCTCTTTCATAACATTGAATTGATATTTATTTTAGAGACGCGATAAGATGAAGACATAACACTATTGAGGCAAGTCTTGTATTCAATCCCTCGGGATGCTGAACGCCGAACGCCGAACGTCAGGAAATTAAAAACAAAGCCCAAAAGCTCAAACCCGGATGTGACAGAATCAAAACAACTGAAACCCCCGGGGCACGGGAACTTGACAGTTCCTTTTGGCACACATTTCCCCAATTCGGGGCCTCTACCCTCTACAAATCAGTTGACTCAAACCTCATTATTATCTTATGGAGCATGGCATCTCTTCCAAACTTCGATAACCTTCCTCCTGTCGAGGGGATGCCGCAAGGCTGTGCATGGGGCATCTTCGACAAAGACGACGAGAAAGATGTTCTCGGCACCCTGAATCTACTCACTCCAGAAGTCGTCAAGGATGCTGTCACGGAGGTACGCCAAGGCGTGTCTATTTCCTTAAAGTGAAATGCCCTTCATTATCTCCAGAATACGACCTAATACCACTAGTTGGCCCATCGGGAGCATCAAAATCCCAGGGTTCTTTCGAAAAAGCTTCTGTCACAATGTCATGAAGTTGGAAGACGCAGCATCTGGCAGCCACTTTGGATTTGACGACGAGGTATTGTGCTACCAGGTTGTTCTCTCTCATACCAGAGCTAATTAATCCCAGGTCGAATTCAACACCCAAGCCAGTAGTCAATGGGATAGTTTCGGTACGTCCAAGAGCTCTAGCTTTTTGAATTCAAAAGAGAACTGATTCGCAACCCAGCTCACTTCATGCACCTCCCAACCGGCCTCACCTACAACGGAGCGAAACCAACAATCGATGCATTTCAGACCTCCGAATCTGCCCTAAATCTTCCAACACTAGACCGTAAGCAAAACTCCAATCAAACCCAACCCCAACACCGAAAAAGGCTAATGGAGAAAACCAGACTGGCACCAACGCGGCTGTGTGACAGGCCGAGGCGTACTAATCGACTTCAAGAGTTACGCGCAGACCCACGCGATAAGCTACGACCAATTCTCCGGCTTCCGCATCGGGACCACCGAGCTAGAAGCAGTGGCTACCTGGCAGAGGGTAACCTTCAAAGCAGGAGACATCCTCCTTATCCGATTCGGGGTAACAGAGACGCTGAGTCAGATGACCGGTGCCGAGCAGGGCGCTGCGATGAGCAGCGGCAAGATGTGTGGGCTGGAGGGAAGTAAGGAAATGGCGCGCTGGCTTTGGGATCGGCATTTCGCTGCTGTTGCTAGTGATAACACGGCGGTTGAGGCTATGCCGCCTATCATCGATGGTGTTGAGCAGCCTACCCATGAGCTTGTGTTGCATCAGTGGTGTCTTAGTTTGCTGGGTATTCCGCTCGGTGAGCTTTGGGATCTGAAAGCACTGGCTCATGCCTGTAGGGCTAGTAGGCAGTATTCTTTCTTGCTTACTTCGTCCCCGCTGAATTTCCCTGGTGCTGTCGCGAGCCCCCCTAACGCACTGGCCATACTGTGAAGAAGAGGACTATGTACCAACGGTTTCGGTGGATGGCAGTGATTAGACAGAAATGAAATTTCCGGTACTTTTTATTTGTGGAGATCTGAGTCGAAGTTCCCGAGGTCATAGGTACCTGTAGCCGTTCATCTGGGGAAATGGTTCGAGTACCCACTTTGGGATCCACATGGCTTAGCCTCTTGTTCTGTGGGCCCCGGGTATTTATAGATGGAACATACCGAGGTCAATATATTAGAGCATGGACGGTTTATATCTTGAGAAGAGCTGGCCCTAGTGTAATAGACCATAGCCCGTTGGTTTCGGTACGTCTATATCCACATTCAAACAAGCATGAAGTCAAAATCAGCTTCTCGTGCAATATCCTGCCACTGTATATCGACGTGCGGTCCAGCCACTGCCCGCCGATTCCACAGAGCTTGAACGATTTCACATAATATATTGATACTCTGGATGCCGTACCGACTCTTCCGGTGAAAGAATGCCAACATTCGATCTTGCAGATCAAGCCAGTCGCAGTCAGCCGCAACCACAAAACTTGCCCAGTTATAGGAACAGCCACCCTTGTCACGCGTGAGCGCATCGACGGATTCAAGCTCGTGGATACCTTTCTCAATCAGATCCTGTACGTCGCACAATGGTGCGCCGCGCAAACTGCGGCGGAAGTATACAATCGTCGCGTAGTAGAATGAGTTCAAAGAGTGTTGGACAATGACCGAACCGGGGGCGTCTGGGTTGGACAGGGACGGAAAGTTCAAGTAGAGCTGGAGTTCGAGCCGGTCGAGTTCTTCGGTGGGAAGCTGTGTCTGGGACTCAACAAGTGTGGTGATTTGAGCGAGGCATTGGACCAGTGGTATTGTGACTCCATGCGATTGTTCTAGGTAGTGATGTAAATGGAAGGGGCCATTGAGGAGCGACATGAGCCGGTCGGGTATAGGAAGACTGCATAGTGATGAAAGGGACAAGTAGCTTTGAACCAATCTAGCAGCAGTCGGAGTACGGATCCAATCGCCATGGACCTCGTTCTCCAGGAGGCCAAGGCATCCAGAAACGTGTGCTCTCCATCGGCTGCGGCGACCAGACATAGCTTCAGCGGAGATGTAGGTAAGGACAGCGGCTAAAGTGGGCTCATCTAGGCAGCTAGCCTGCTGTAGGCTTCCTCGCAAATGACCCAGAGCTAGCTGGCCATGGTGGACGGCGATGGAATGGTACCGCGAATCATGCCGGAGGTGAGAAAGACTAAAAGCAGAGGAGGCACAGATAGCGTGGAAGATTGAAAGATGGATGTTCGATTCTGCTGGGGAAGCGTCAAGGCCTTTCAAAGCCAGAGGCATGAACACTGCCCGGCAGGGATTGTCCGGGGTGTCGATTAAGAGCATGTTTCCGCTGAGAAAAACAACCCAGTGGTGAACTAACTCTATCTCTGGTCTTGGGAGAACCCATGGACTTATGGAATTGCAGAGGGATATCCCAGTCCGATTCCTGTAGATATTTGATATTGGTCTGCCGTAGTCGCTCGGTTCTGACGGCATATTTCTGGGGCTTTTGTGGTGAACATAGGCGACTTCATTGATAGAAATATCACCGACCAGATCATTAGGCCTTGGTAATACCGCGCATAATTCCTTGTGGGATTCAGACATAAAGAGCGCAGTAGTAGATGATGAGCCGGCCCACGTGGGCTTCGGTGAAGTCAACTCGCTACCTCTGTCGTCATCTGATAAGTCGACCAAATCCGAGGAGATATGCTGTTCAACCTCTGCATATTGGTCTAAAGGCGAATCTTCCAAGTTAGGTAGATCAACACGGGTTGTATCTTGGGTCTCCAGGCTTGACAAAGAGAACACCGAGAACGGTCCTCGTTGTTGGGCACAGCCATGCCCCGAATATCCATCCAACTCAACCAGTAGTCCTGTAACAGCGGCAGATGACAACTCGTGGTCCGCATCTGGTAATGGGGCCCGCAATTGGCGCCGATAAGAGCGGCTCCCGGGGGTTTGAGACCATTCTAGGCGCAAACCATACCCTTTGCACACCCAACCACTCCGCTGGCAGCGCCGACAGTGAGGGTGTTCTTCGTCGCACTTCACTCGGCGGTCTCGACAAGTCCAGCATCCAGTGAAAGTCTTGGTGCGTGATTTTGGGACCTTTGCATTATTTGACGATATATCCGGCATTGCCAAGGATCGGGGAAGGGTGAAAGCTCTGGCCCGGGCAACCCATTTGCCCGCACGTCGGCAATCGCCGGTCCCTGATCCACGCCGCGGATGTTTGCCACCGCCGGGTGTTATTGCGCCAGCAAATAAACTAGGTTTAGGAGTATTTCGTTGGCTCCGAAGGTTAGTATTTCTACAAATGAGTTATATATTGAGCTATAGCCTGCTTTTTTGCGGCATCGGTCTCCAAGGTTACCGAATATTCTTTCATCTCGCAGCTAAAATGTTAGTAGAAATGTGAACTCCACTCATTAGAAATCAGGAAGTGTGAGAATTTGTCTATTGGAAGTCACTAGCAGCATTAGAATACGTAACTGACAGACACTTGCAAGCGTCATAGCCAATGAATCGCAGGTATGCAAGAGACTTTTCTATGTACACAGAAGAAATACAAAGTACAAACCCAGTTGCACATCCCATTCCCAACCCACGCATAAATGCGAAACATGAAGCTCGAAGCGCCGGAGTGAGGAGACCCGCAGGGGAAATAAAAAAAAATAGTTGTAATACATCGCAGGCGGAAAGACAAAGCGAGGCGGCTAATAGTCAACCGCCCATGTCGTTTAAGGGTAGCGTGGAGGGTATGGAGTATCGGATAACCGAGAAGCGGAGTAGGGTAAAACTGGCCAAGCTAGCAATCTAGAAGAAGGCCCTTCGGGTCACCTGTAGGATCGAGGTTAGCAAAAGTCAGACAGCATATCACAGCAATATACATACAGCCCAGGCACCAGCAATGGTAGCCACAATGCCGCCAGAGATCATCATTGGCTTAAGTCCACGCGTGCTCTTGAAGACCATGCCGCTCAATGCGCCGGCCACGATGCTGTTAGTCGCGTCATGCTTGCCTCGCACATATCCGAGGCTGGAGTTGAATCCGTTGTAAACCATAGCTACAACACCAGCCGAGTTTCCGAGGAACGGACCGCGACGGGTAACGGAGTTGAGTACACCGTTGAGACGAATTTTGGGTGCTGCCGTAGGTGGTGTCTTTTTCAATCCTTCTACAAGTCCCCACGCGCCTCCAGTAGCGAGTGCAACGAGATAGGTAGTACCGGCACCATAACAAAGGTCGTCTGACCATCCGCGGGATGGCAACACTGATCGGGAGCCGGGGAGTTCATCAAGGGCAGTGTCATCGAGAGAGAGGTAGTCGAGGGTATCCTGGTTCAAACCAGCCAGAGGATGGAGGCGAGAGGGATCGGGAATAGCGACCTCGGAGAGGAAGGATGTGGCATCTTGCGCGGTTGAAGGGTCGAAGGCCTCGGGCCCGGTTTGCTTGCGGCCGCTGAGGGAGTCCCAGATGGACATTGTGAAAAGAAGTATAGAAAGATAAAGGATAGAAGATAAAATTACAAGAACCTAAGGAGAACCTTGGAAGGCAGAGGCGGATGACTGGAAAAGAAGTGATGACCCTGTGCTCGCAGCTCCACTGGCATCGGAACAGCAAAAACTTCGGTCCCGTGACTTCCGGCGATCTACGGAGAAGAATTTGGCCGAGGGATAGACGCTTAACCCGATTCGGAATCCCACATTTATCACTTGGCGGCCTGAGGCATCGCGGGGAGCATAAATCTCTAAAAATTAAACGTCGGGGAGATCTTTTTCGCGTAATCCGTTATCCAAGATACTGAGGCTTGTGTGATTGGGACTCTGACTGTTGGTGATTCACGTCAGGTGCAATGTGTCGTATCAAAATGGACGACCTTGCGCAGAATGTGCAGTTGTTCTCGGAAAAAACCCTCCGAGATATCGCCAAAGGCCCATTGGTGAAATTCACACTGACATGCCAAGACACCGAGTAAGTGAAGTATGTTCAATTCATAGTAACCAATTTGTTCTAATATTTCCAAAAGAAAGGTGAACCGGGTATGGCAGTCTTTGGTTCTGACGCTATCGACAGCATCTATCTCGCAACCTCATTCAGCAGAGGCATGCAATGCTGCCTCTGCTTTTATTGATGCTGCCACCAAGTCACAATGTGACGCGACTCAACGGTTGATTTTCTCACAAGAAGCGTGGCTGTCAATATTCGATATTTGTTTGACTCGATATGAAGATGCCAAGCCAAAGCCTGTTAAGAAACTCCTCGCCTCGGTTATTGCTATCTTAGTCAAAAATCACCAAGGAGCAACAAGAGCGGCCCTTCAAACTGCAGTCATTGATGCCATAATTCCTAGCATTGTGCTTGGGGAGCCTCAATCACGCCTAAAGGGGTGTCTGGTATTTTTGGAGACATTCATCAGAAGGGATGCCCTGTTACCCAGCGAGTTTATCCCATTGACTCGCCAGTGGCTGTTAAACAATACAGATAAATGGGCAAATCTCTTCGCCAACGATCATGAAACTCTATCCCTAGGCGAATCGGGCCCCGCTTTTGACATTGGATCTGGCAGTCTGCCCGATGAACTGGCAACGAGGATCTTTGTTCTGGGACTCTTGATCCAAACTAACAATAGGACCATGGCCGTATCGGCTGGTAACTTACTGGCAATTCTAATCCAGAAGATGAAGCCTGAAACCTCACCGGAAAAGCTGTCAGCGATGTGGGTACTCCCAGTGAGACGCATGGTCTTACAAAACATAGAAACCTTGGAAGATCTGTCAAATAGGCTCCTGCAGCCTCTGTTTACCATCGACCCCAATGGCTTCAGGATCTTCCTTGACACGCTTCCAGTCAAGAGCCTTCTCAAAGGTGATATGACCGATGCGCCTGAGGCAGAGTATATGGTTCTTTTCGCTGCTCTGCAGATCGGCAAGAAAACCAACCTGGTCCATGAAGATTGTGAGTGGCATTGTTGACCTATTATTATTGGTAACTGGCTAATATGCGCAGATATTTTTAACGTTGGCAAAATGAAACTCGACGAAAATGAGGTGTTAGTCGTGAAGAGCGACGTGATCGGCAATTTTCTCCTGCACCGCGAGGCCAATATCCGTATAGCAGCTCTCTCGCTGTTGATCATGGCATTTTCCACAGTAAAGCCATTTACCGTTGGGGCAACGAACGTTATCCTTCGAGGAATACCCTCGATGCATGCTGAATCCGACGCATATACTCGCGGAGAAATTCTGAGTCTGACACGAAAATTCTTTGTTCGTCTAAGAGGTGGCATTGTTAAAGATGAAGACGTTGTTTCACAGACAGACAAAACAGCCAACAAGCCAGGTCAAGGCCAGGTCAGAAATGAAACTGAAACCATAGAGTTCCTAAAGGCATACCTAAAGCTATTGGGTAATGATGTGCGTCTTGCGGCCTCATATTCGCGCCACATAACGGCGCTCAAAGCTCTGAAGCTTCTGCTGGACTCCGGTCTTGATCCACGTTTAGAGGTCAAGCTTCAAAAATCAGAGATGGAAAATCTTTGGAAAGTTCATATCGAAGTGTTTGATGCTCACCTACTTCGGTTGTTGATTGATCTCCTGCTAGATCCATTTGAAGAAGTTCGACAAACTTCGCTTTCGATCTTGAGTCTGTGCCCTCGAGAGATTCTGCTCAACGGCTTGCACAACAAGACAGACCAACAGTCGACTGCGGGCATGCGGTTGACAGATGCAATTACCCGAGCGGAAAGCCTTGCAAGTAACACGAGCCGAGCTGATCACGCTGATACTGTTGCTCGTCTCTATCATATCGTCTTTTGCGCGGCCCTGCCAGCCAACTCCGGTCAACCGGTTTCTAATTGGTGGACAACTAAGGCATCAGTAGTCGACACAATTTTAAGAAAGCTTGAGGAACGTCTACTTGATTCAAAGAACCTTTTCAGCTCAACTATGCGCGAGGCACCACTTCATGGATATACGTCTGGTCTTAGGTATGTTGTCCCGGTCCGTATATGTGATAAAATTCTAATTGCAATTCCAGGTATATTGTTCTTATGCCAAGCTTCCACTCTCTGATATCTGACGACTCGGGATCCGCTGCTTGGCGGTCTGTCCATGACCGTATTGTTGCAATTTGCGATAAGATCTGGATTGAGGCGAAGCCTTTGCTGTGTATCGATTCACCCGAAGGTCACTCGGACGAGCCTACCGAGGATCTGAATGTGGGACCCAAGGACGCCCTTTCTTATTCCTGGAGATCTCTTCGCGAAGCAAGGTAAGTTCAAATATTTTTTGACTATGCATGATCGCTGACTGGAGCAGCCTCTTGCTCCATGCCACTATGGTAAACATCAGTTACGGACCAAGCGGCAACGATGGACTCAATTTGGCGGATTTCGCAAACATTGGAGGCGTGAGCTTCACACAGTTGGCTGAACTTCGCCATAGAGGTGCATTTTCCAACGTTTCACAGACATTTGCGACATGCTGTCAACGATGCAGCTCCTCGAAGGATCCGGCAATCCGAGAACTTCCGAGAACCTGGTACCAGGAAGCTAAGTCGACTATCTTTGGCTCGGCATCTGAACTCACCCGTCGGTCTGCTGGCTTGCCTGCACTGGTGACTGGAATCGTTGGTTCCGATCCCGGGACTCCCTTCTTCAATGAGGCTATTAATGAGCTCCACGAGATCTCATCCCTTCCCGTTGAGTACGACAAAGAGAGACAGTACTTGGAACTGCCCCAGGTTCATGCAATGAATTGCCTGAAAGATATCTTCACCAACGCGAAGCTTGGCTCCCATACCGAGCCGTTCATTATGAAAGCACTGACGCTGTCCGCCGAACGCCTTGGGTCTCCAATCTGGGCCCTTCGCAATTCGGGACTGATGCTCTTCCGTGCCCTACTCACAAAAATGTGCCGGGCCATTCCCGGCGCTGGGCCTGGTTTTGGAGGAAACTCGGGCTCAGAGCCAGGATCCCGGATAACATTCCCCAAGTACCCTGGTCTACTTGAACTGCTCTCTGGCCTTCTCACAACGACGCAGGGCGAAGCAGCAGAGGGGACTGATATCATTACCGAGCGGGTGTTCCCTGCGCTAGAACTCGTTGGGGACAAAGTCCCTAGCTTGAATGATCCTATTGATGAGATGCTACGCGGGTTGGTTCTGGAGCACCTGAGCAGCCCTGTTTGGGGTGTTAGAGAGCATGCAGCCCGTGTATATGCGTCATTGTTGACCCGACAAAATATCCCGGAAGATTTATGCACTCTTGTTAAGAGTCCCTCAAAAATCACCGAGAATTATGTTCACGGTGTTGCTTTGTGTGTGCGATATGCCCTTCGTCGATACTCCTTCACCACCGATGATTTCTGGAAATGTGAGTGCGCTGAACAATTCCTAATAAGATTGAAGTTAATCATTTGGCAGCCAACCTTGATGTACTTTTCACGACCTTGCGCACTGTATTAGAATATCTGTTCCGTGTTGGAAAATCGCCAACTGTGGCAGGCGAGCTTGTTGAAATCCTCAATGGCACGCTGGAGCGGGCGATACAAGCACATAACGAAAGTGAGGATATTCACCTGAGTAAAGAAAATACACGTGCTAACAGATCTATAGACCAAGTTATCTCTTTTATCAACGAGATATTCGAGGTTCACGAACTCGATGAGATTTTGAGATTTGTTTTTGACGCTTCTCAGACAGGATGGAACATCTCAAGCACTAGCCGAGCATCTGCCTTACTTAGAAGAGCGCTTGCTTGGTGCACAACATTGAAAATGCTTACTTCCCAGCAGTGGGAACATCTCCCAGCATTCATCATTGGAGTATCGCAATTCGATGCAGATGTCGCTCGTTGGATATTAGAGCAGCTCCACGAATTAGTTGGCGAAGAAGACAGGTACAGACAGCCATTGGCTGACTTGTATTCGTCTGTCATTTTGGGAGGTAGTCGACCTGATGTGAAAACAATGGCCGCATCCAATTTGGCTTCTATCGTGGAGAACTTGTTATCATCACAGTCCGACTCTTTGCCAAGCATCGGTATCCCGTGGGATGCTATTGCAACGAGCTTCCGCCCTGAAACAGATATCACAAGATGGAACCGAGAGGCAACAGACGCCGAGCTCCGACTTCGAGGCTGTATACTGGCCACCCGGCTATCTGTTGATCAAGCAGCTTTGTCCTTATCTGAAGGCGATATCCACAGCTGGACTATCAAGCTTCGCTCTGCCTTGAGCGAGGAGACAGTGAGTTTTATCGAGAAATTTGGCATACAATCGAGTCACTGATCTAATCTTTTTCGTTTCCTAGGAATTCACAACCCGTTTTGCTGCAGCCGTATCCGTTGGCAGCTTTTCACGGGCTCTTAGATACCCCGGTTCCCGGCCACGCGTGGATTCGGTGCTACTAGATGTCTATCTGGTCTTGTATGACATGCTTAATGATGACGATGACGAAATTCGCGATGTAGCTGCATCAAGTGCCTCTTGGATTCTGTCACACTCGTCAGTTTCACCTGACGCCGACCTGGCCCTGGCGCCTCTTAATGCAAGTGCCCTGCTTGCCGACTTCATTATCGATAACTATTCAGATTCCGCACGCCTCGGGCAGCGGGTTCTTCGATATTTGACTGGCCAAGAGCCAAGGATCAGTGGATCTGATGAACGCAATCACCTAGTCGCCGTGTCAGACCAGATCACAGAGTATCGCCAAGAGAGCACCGTCCTCTTCGTGGAGGAGAAACAGAATCTGTTTATCGATGATGTGCGTGAGGTTGAGATTTGGTCGCGAGCTCTGTTGCGGTTGACTCCCTCGGCATACGCTAAGCTTTCGTTGGATGAAATTTCTGCCTGGACCTTTGAGGGATTAAAATATCTCTGTTCTCTTGTTGGTGACGAAAAAGAGCCAGATGGACTTCTTGGTTGGGTCTCGAAGCCCGAGATCTTCACCTTAGGTCTCCGAGTTATTATCATCTCGTCTGCTCTAGCCTCACAAGTCTTCACATCACCAGAGAGTCTGCGAGTGCAGCCGGCTGCCTTCCGGGGATCACTCAAATCCCTCTTGGACGCAGGCAAATTGTCATCAGTCCATGGGGATTGGTTGTCAAGAATCTAGACTGCATTGGAAATGTGAGATGTAATGCGCATTAAAAGTGAAAACAGGATAACTAGTTACATATACGTTGGATAGAAGATCAAAAAATATCTCGTTTGCCATGTTTGCGAGTCTGTTTTCTCTGCTCCTTCCTCATTTCCTCTTACCTTCTTCACTTGATGTCGATATCCTATTTAAGACCTCCAATCAATCCTCCCACTCTCCACCCTCTTCATTCTCCTCTTTCTGTTTCATTCTATGCTATTTCATCCTTATCTGACGTGCACCACGCAAATCCACTCCCAGCACTGCAGCTGCACGCACTCCAAACCCGTCACTTCGAGTCACTCTTTCGCTACTGTGTTGCACCATGAAGGACAATATTCTGGTCGCAGTTCTTCTGGCGATAGCGTTGGTCACCCCGGCCTTCGCGTGGTTGTTTTACGTTTGGTATCGGTCACATTTGGCCCAACTGCACCAAGAAGGCCGAATCATCAACAGAAGGAACCAAGATCGCGCCCAGGCCAACTATGAGCCCGCGGACGGAGACCAAAACGCCATATTTGGACCCTACTTTACCCCTCGCGGATGGGTTCGACCAAAGGCTCGAAGACTATCCCATGTCCCGCCACAGTACGTTAACCCCCGGCAGCCGAGCGGTAACCCGAATCCTGACCAACCTTTACAAGGACAAACCCAAGCGAGCACGCATAGTCCTCAGATGGTGAACCAGCAGCCGAACCAGCAGCCGAACCCGTTATCTAAACGGCAGCAAAGGAAGCAACGAGCGTTACAAAACAAACAAAGGCAGCAACAGAAAAGACAGCAGCAGCAAGGCCAAGATGAGCAACAGAGCAAGCAGAACCAACAAAGCCAGCCGAAACAGAAATACAAGAACCAAGGCCAGAACCACCAGAAGCCTCACAGTGCTCATTCCCCCAATGCCCAGGAGAGCCACGACGAGCAGAATCATGAATGGGGAGACACAGAAGCACAAAATGACCAAACCAACAACCATGGTGGTGGGGGTGGATGGGGAGATGATGACGGCACGCGGGACAATCAACACAATACTGGGCAGAACGAGGACAACAACGATTGGGGCAACGATATCAACAATGACCAAGGAGATCTAGTAAATAATGGATCACATTCTCCACGACGAGACAATCACAATAGCCCAAGGGAAAAGAGCCCTCAGTGGGATAACGAATATTACGATGACCACAGACACAACAATGGAACACGAGAAAGCAATGAAGAGCAACACCATCACAATGGATGGTCCAACGACCGCCCTGCTTCTCCACATCAAGCGTCAAGAAATGAAGCGGATCCGCCCGGTGGTTGGGGTCAGGATGACAATGGTGCACAGCAGAACAGCCATCCACGGAGCAACCATTCCAACGAAGACCGTAACCGCCACGGTGAATGGGGAAATGATGATGCAAAAATTTACAAGAAAGGCAAAGACAACTACCGTGCATCTTCGGAACGAAGGTCAAGAGGCCAGTCAAGCCCCAACCGTGACTGGGGACAAAATGACCATAAAGAATGGGACAACTCCAGGGGACATGAAGAAGAATACCGTGGCGGCAGTTCAGCCCGGGGCCAAGGTCACAATGTACACCGAGACAAGAAGAAGAAAAAAGAACGCTGGGTGATTGAATTGGAGGAGAACGAGAAGAGGCAGCGTCGTAGTCAAAACCGCGAACACTCGGATGCAGCATGGGAAAATCGAAGCCAGGCTTCCGGCTGGAAAGAGAAACAGGAATGGTGAATTCAAGTTGATTATTTCGTGTGGATTGGGGTGGGGAGTTTTCCAGGTTTATGGATTTGCGTTCATGATAGTCGATATTTCTTTTCTACAACCTGTGTTATGCCAAAAATCTATATCTCATAGCTAAATCTCTTAAGACTTCTATACATCTGATTCTCAAACACATTGCGAGTATATCCATAGCTATACTAATGAAATCGAATCGAATGAGGATGGGATGTTCACTACATTACAGGCCAAGACTTGGGGCTACCCAAATCCTAACAAAGAATCTCGAGTTCTTTATATTCAGCACCGCCCAATCCTCTCTTGCCCTAAGATTAGGAATTAATAGTGGTAGGGTTTTAGGTTTATCAATCGAGTAGGAGTTGAAGCTGGAGGAGCTGCGATTGATTTCTGAGCGATATTCTACGCTGGAAAAAGCCCGGCTTATAGACCAAGAAAGACCAAAAGAGCTAGCTATATATGTTGTTCTCCGATAGAGGCCGCAAACGCGGGCGACCTCATTGTTCACCTGGATCGAGAGCCCCATTAGACTAGATGCGTTAGAAAACCCAATTCTTGCATAAATTAGGGTCTTGGCGTTCACAAATCTGCAAAACCAGCAGAATTGTGCACACAATTAGCGTGTTTGTATAGTTTATAACCGTTTTACTGCAACGTTGGAGCTTATTTTCTTCGGCGAATGTATTAAGATTGTATCCGCTTTGGCAGAAATATATGTATTGGTAAGTCACAAACGGCAAACACAAACGATCAAATATACCGAGAGCAAAAAGTTGGATATCCCAGGACCTGACGCCACAGAATGCAGACAAGGAACTTTTAAACAGAACGGGTAATGTGTATAAGCAATGTAATCGTGAGAGGTGAATAAAAACAAATCTATCAGCGCGAAACAGACGACGAGGCGACTGTGTCATATATGTTGGCGAGAAAGAAACACGGAAATGTGCAGAATTCGATCCCATTCTCGAAAGAAAGGGGATGCGGTGGGGTTTGGGCGAGACTATCCCGGAGGTCTATAGGTGTCGAGGGTAGATAAGAGAAATTAATGACGATCAGGCTTGAGCGATGGGCCATCCGTCGACATATTTGAGAGGATTAAATCCCAGGAAGGCGTCCTATGATTGTATGTGTTAGATCAAATCTTGATGACGTTTGTGCAAGGGGTAACAGAGGAGGATCGACAGGGGTGCATGAATCACGACAATCGTGGCCCACAAGTCTGCCAATATTCAAGTGCGAGCTCACCTGGAATGTAATGCCAACGGTCGTGTTCACTGCGATGAGGTCAGTATGGAGTTCAAAAATTGTATTTGAGTCTAGGGGTAAACGTACAGTAGTGGTAGTAGAGCACATCGGTATCGCCGTCACGGATCACAGCTTGCCCGCCTGGGGCATAGGTCTCTCCGTTCGAGCCGTAGACAAGTTCGCCGCCGCCCTTGACGAGATCTGTACCGTTCTTGTCTGTGAATGGCCCACGGGGATTTTGAGAGCGTCCAACGCGGATGGAATATCTGAAGTATGTGAGTATAGAGCAACAAGTCACTAGATAGCGAAGACTTACTCTTGACCAGCGGCCGGTAGGTTGTCTTGTTTCAAATTACAGCAGAAACCATGGCTAAACCAGAGATAGTACCATCCATCGTTGTAGGAGATAAAAGCACCCTCAATGGGATGGGGACCGCTCGGGTCACCACAGATGTTATTGGCCATGCGATTCGGCGGGGCGAGGGATTCCGGTTCCCACGCCAGCTGACGGTCATCGGGTTCGGTAGTGCTCGCTGGAGAGAGGAGGTCCTTGCTCAGCGGAATTTGGAAAATTCCATTCCAGTAGCTTCCATATGTCAAATAAGCATGTCCATCGGGAGTGACCAATGTGCTAGGGTCAATGGCATTGGACTTAGTGTACGGAGAAATTTCCGATCCATTGCCTGTGCCAGTCTGAATGACAATGCCGTGATCATACCAGTTGCCCGGGCCCGGAGAGTTAGAGGTAGCCACGCCAACAGCACTGTCGCGGCAACCAGCCTTGCTAACACTGTAATAGCAATAGTATGTGCCGTCGACAACGATAACGGTCGGGGCCCAGGGCGCGGCACGATCACCCTTTGGGATTACACTCTTGGCATCCAGCACACTGCCAACGCGCTTCCACGGGCCAGCCAGACTAGGCGCAGTGTCGATGAGGATGTGTTCGCCAACATGATAAAGATAATACTCATCGCCCACACGGACAATAGTAGGATCATGTGTATGTTGCTGTGTCTGACGAGGAGGGGGAAAGCGGCTTATAGCCTGGTCACTTCCGAGATCTTGCGACTTCTGGCCATGCTCAAAGTTCTGGTCTCTTCGATTGATACCCAAACCAAGACCAACGGAGAAGAAACATACTAAGGCGAGAAAGAGAAGCATCTTAATCCAGCGTCGAGGGAATTGCTTCCAAAAAGACTGATGTCGAAATCCATCGCGATGGCCAGACGGCGACATCGACCGTGATAAGTGACCGGCCCTGACGATCATCTTGATGGAACCAGGTACTCATCGTTTTCAGTCGACGCACGGCGTTGCCACCCTAGTAGGGTGGAGTTGATGATGCAGGGCAGCAGTGCAGAGGGGTGAAGGAGCTGCGATACGGTCCACTGGTTACTCAATAGAGGCCCACAATTGGACATGCCTGCAGGGTTTCGGAATGCCGAGGTAATAAGTTGTTCTGTATATTGCAGGACATACAGATGGGTTGTTCGCCTTGGCGTGATGGAAGCGGAAGGGATGGGAAGGCTTCGTGGCACAAAAGATGGATCACTGTTAGACCAACTACATATCAGGCGATTGAACTCCGAGATAGTCGTACACCGTAACTTTGTGCATAGATTAGTGAAGTTGGCAAGCAAGGGAGGTGCCTGACTTTTGAAATCAATCGGTTGCAGTGTCGATCTTCCAGATGTCCTTTTCAAGTCACGGGAAGTGATTGGTCAAATGTTCGGAATGCGCCTTTTGCCTTTTAAACATATCGCTCTTCTCCAAGGAGGATGAAAACGGATATAAATCCATCTAGGAGCAAGCCCTCCTCTCGTTTGACACCTTTCTAACAATATCACCCTGTAGGGTTGCAGGTACGAAGGCACAGGTAAGACAAAGCCTTGTCCCTCCAGGGCTACTACTTTCTATACAGAATAGCCTAGACTCAAGAGAATTGGAGTTAAAAGAATTGGATATACCAAATTTGTTCCAGCGAGGTGAGTAGTGACAAGTAATAAAAAGTAGTAAAAAAGTAAAAGATATCCGCCGAACGCCAGCGCCGAGCTCCATCAGACTAAAGATGGAGTATAGTCTTCTATCGAGCCACGATCTTGTCCACCTCATCTCTAGCTTCGGTCCATGTCTCCAGGTTCTTGCGAGCCCAGTCCAAGTGACAACGAGCATATGCGACCTAGAAACCCATATTTAGTCTTAGTCTTCAGGTATGTAGGGGGCCAATCATACCATGTACCGTCGCAGGTCAGCCTCTTTGTCCTTCTGGAAGCGCTTGAGATCATTCAGCACACCCGCGCTCGCATCCTTGACGTCCTTTTCGGACACTTCTAACGCTTGCTCCAACTAAAAATTGATATTAGGTTTGAAACCATCTGAGATTTTTACTCCGTTGCCCACATACCTGAATCAAACTTTCTTTCGTCTTTCCAATCTGGTCCCGACGTGTTCGTTCGGGATCTACATCCGCAAATCCATGGATAGCATGGCTGATGCGACCGAAGATTTTATTCGCCACAAAGGTCCCGCTGGATGTCTTGCGATGACCGTGTACTGACGGGTCCGACCTCTTGAGTCCTCCAATCTGCGATCCAGGCAGAGAGCTTATAGAATCGGTGTGAGTAGATTGGAGGCCAGAGTCGGCTGACATAATGGGGCCGCTGCCCCCTTCGCTGGCGGATGAGGTTGACAGAGAACGAGGCTTCGTCCCTCCAGAATGAGGGTTGGTGCGATTGAGATACTGCTCGATACGCTTGGCTTCTAGTTCACTGCGCTCAAGGGAGTCTAGTAAAGTTTTTTTCTTCGACAACTCATCGCGAGTCATTTCTTGTTGTACCCGCTTGAGCACTCTGTATCGTAGAACTCCGCGAACCACACTAGCAAATTGAGCACTCTCGCGCATAGGTTCCGCAAAACTTGCGCTCAGAGCCGAGGATAGCTCTTCGGTTTCAATATACGAAGTATCCGCAGCCTGGCCGATGCGCTCAATGGCGGCAGCTACTGTTGGCGACTGTTCAGAAAGAGAGAATCCGTTGTAACGAGCTCCCAACTCCATGAGGTCGGCTGAGAGTCCAGACAAATGCGAGAGAGTTCGTCGATTAACTTTCTCAATATTCCCCTGCAAAAGTAGTTCTAGCTCACGCGTAGACGCTTCAAAATTAATAAAGTAAGGGTCCAGTTCTTGCTCGCTAAGCTTGCGAGACTCGGGAGGGAACCGCCCAAGCATCTCAGGTCCCGGGAATGAGGGCTGCTCTTGCTCATTCGGTGACGTAGGCGATGCTGGATTTGCGCTCGCTGTAGTAATGCCACCGCTGGTCTTGAGCTTTGCGGATGCAGAGGGAACCGGTAGCCAGCCATGGGCTGGTGTGGGATTTGCGGGGTCAAGAGGTGGCGCTTTGAGGTTATTCTTTGGGACCGATGATGCAGGATAGGAGCTCAAGACCTCGCTCTGCGCTAACGTTAGCTAATAAACTCGTGACCAGGAGGCTCCAGATCAAACCCACCCAGCTAACATTGGGATCAAGGAATCTCCACCACACTCCATCCTCGCGGATCTCCTTCATACACCGGCAGCGGTTGAGAAACACACCGAGCATGCGCTTTCGGAGATCTATAATGGCCATATCATCTTTAGCCCTAGTAGGTTTAGCTGCGTAGTCCGCCATGCTGTGCTTCTCGGGAATTGGCGGAACAACCAAGGTGGGATGCAAATTGACAAGCGTTTGTCGCAATGATGCAAACTCGGAATATCGACGGCGCACTTCCAGGTCCTATCAACACTCAGCATTGTACAGTTCCCCCGCCAGGCACCATTATCATACCGCAGTCCGAATCGTGTAAACAATAAAGCCCCCGCCTCCCTCATGATTTTTCCCGGCATCTGTGATCAAGATTGGCATGTCGGGGTTTTCATAAAGGATCTGTTCGATGCGGCTGTCATAGACGCTCTTCCGAGGGTATTGTTCACTGGCGGCACCATATTCGGCCTCATCTTCGGGATCGCTGAGATCGTCAGTATGGGTGATGTAATCGGGAGGCTCGCTGTTGGAGTCGCGACTAGACGGAGGGGATGCGTCGTGTTCGTAGAGAGCTGGCTGCTGTGAGATACTGATCCAAAGGCAGAAGCGTTAGGGTGCGAACCGAGCGGAGACTTACGAGGAGAGAGTGCGGCTGAATGTAGGGAGTCAGATAGGCCGGACCGATGTTGGTCAAAGGCCCCGTAGGGATTGTTATCTTCGTCGTTCCACATTATGAGGGTATGGACGCTGGATAAGACCAACTAGCACCGCAAACTGAGTTGGAGAAGCTGTGCCTGGGAGATCTGCGGGGGGGAGGTCGTGGTGTGGCTGGTGCAGGGCGGTGTTCGCGATTACGTCATGAAGGAGGCTTGAACTCCAATCTTCATCGATGGAATATGGGCAAGAGACTGTAAAATAGGACAACCGAGGAAAACTTGAAAGTGGTTGGTAGATGTCTTTTGTCCTAGGATCTAATGGTTGCGATGGTTCCAGCTTGAACCCCCGCTGGTCCAAAAGCGGTCGATGTATATATCCATGGATCGGTAGGCCCTAAAGCAGGACATGAAATATTACCGAGCCAGTCAAGCTTAATATATCCCCCAAACAAGATTGGAAGGGAGTTACTCTACACAAAAAGGACTTCGAAATTAACATCATTCCAGAGTAATATGCTAATAAAAAGGTGATTTATGCTGAAGGGTGCATGTATGGCAACAGGCTCGAAGTAAAGAGGGAACACTAGTTCTAGAACCGATTTCCATATCTCAAAAGCCTCAGATATTGTCCCGCCGTGTCCTGAACAAGTATCACAGTCCATAAAGTTTTCTCATGCAGTGAAATGACTCCCATATCTCATATCTCAATGTTTCTGCGCCCAGTGTCTTACGTCTGATCGGCACCCTGAGAGCCTGCAGCGTCGCGTGCATTTCGTCCCACCTGCTCTGTATTATGCATAGTTAATAAGGTTGGGTTGATTCCAGCGACTGAGCTTTGAGCGCGTCGTAGAATTGGGAGAGATGGCAGCGTTGGAGACTGGGGAGGTTGCGGAGCAGAGAGCGAGAAAATCCAGCTATTGGCCTTGTCGACGAAGGAAGTAGGGTTGTGGCCAAAGTCAAATCCTTCTCTCAAACCATGATCCCCACTGGCGGTGAGTGAATGATTTCCATAATGGGGTTGCGGCTCCTGGGAGCTAGCCAGAGTGATGTTGGGTTGGTTCTGGCGGCGTTGACGTAGGTTCCGAGTGAACTCGTTGTGGGAAGAGCTACTGTCGGAAGTGAGAGTGACAGAACCAAGCTCGCCCGCCTCGAGGCAGCGTTCAACTGGGTGGTCCAAAGTGTCGCTACTAAGCCCTAGCGCAAAGCTGGGAGAAGTGGTACGGGCGAGGCCGATTCCATCATGAGGATTTGCAGCGGATGAGTTGCGGCGAGCTGGAATATCGGGAAACTGCAAGCTGGGACCGATGTCAAGCACACTAATCTCACTTTCGCTCAGGACTGAAGCACGGGTTCGCATCGAGTTTGGGACGGTAGGACCCGGCTGTCCATTGGAACTCAAGCTTTGAGTCGGGGTGGGGGTCGCGTACGGAGGCATCTCATTTGCTAGAATAGAATTTGGTCTCTGGGACTTCAATAACTTGAGACGCAAGACCTCGAGCCTCAGAATATCGAGTTGGTCGCCGGCACTTTGGTGATCCAAGTGTCTATCAGCGTTGTCGGCGTTAATATTTTCAATCAGCGACCTGGAACTGGCAGCACTGAAGTTGATAGCTTCTGGACATAAGACAGATATGTTGGGATTGAGCTCGAATGGCTCATGGCTGAAGAATCCCTGAGGCTTCGGAGAAGGCGCATTCCGTTTCATTTCGGGAGGAGTGCGTGGATTTACGGAGGTTCGGTGATTGAAGTGAGAGAAGCGTGGCAATTTGGAAACTATTTGCGTGGAGGTGATTATTAGCACGCACCTTGCCCTAATACGGAAGGAGGGACTGTAGGGCTGGCACTTTCCTTACAAAGCGCCTTGGCCACATGACTTCCTATTCTGTACACATCTATGTACACATCATGCACATCATCTGCTCATACCGTGTGTCTGTATGCATTGCTTCCGATATGGAGTCCGTAAACGGAGATGTCTAGATCACTAGGTGACTTTAAATATCATATATTTCGATAGGTGAATCAATGCAGGACATTTTAAAGCACAGATATATTCTAGCAGCAGTGCAGTTGCCATAAATATTAGTACTATGAGTGCTTGTCAATCTCACTAGCTGCACAAGCCCTCTTGTACAGCCTATGGAATTTCACTCCACGGAATCAAACACTTTCTGCTGATTGGAAATTGTTAGCACATATATAATGCACATCGCTATAAGACCAGGGTCTTGTCTAGTACAGCATATACTGCTAATATTGCAGGAAGAATTGGACAAATTATATATAAGAGTCTAGCACTGAAACACTGCCCATGAAGCAAGTTATACCAATCCCGAAACAAATATGTCTACATTTATGATCCACTTAAGCCTCTTGGAACTGTCGTTTGATAGTAAACTGATCTGCTCTAGGTAGATAACAATGGGAGAACAGAGAACAAAGAACAAAACCATCAAACTTCACAGACCGAGCGAGGTCACCTTATATGGACACACATTGCTAGCACCCGTTGCCGACAAGACCAAGTGTAGAGTCAAAGTCTGGACAGATTTCGTCCGACCTGCGATAAAGGAGGCAAGGCCATCGTAGGCCTACGCCTTGTATGTAACGATGAATCTGATACTCAAGTGATGAACTTCATCTACAACTTCGCTATATCTTTACGTTGACCTGAGTTTGGCCTCACTCTTACTTTGCTTTGAGAAGATGATTGAAAACTAAAACAAGAAACATGATTTTTATTTTGTATGGGCCACCTGCCCATCCCCCCTCTATGTAGAGAAACATCCCCCTTCCCCATCCGCCCCTCGTCCCCTTTTTTTTTTTTTTTTTTTTTTTTGTTCATATCATTCATGGGTCCAAGGACATGATGTCCTCGGACCCCACACGCAGCTCCACGACTGGGAGATCATCGGAGGAATCCTCCCCCTCACCCCCAGAAGTGAGACCAAACTGAAACTGAGGGTCGATGCCCATGCCATCACCCCATGGGCATCGACCCTCAAAGACGCCATCCTCGGTGGCAGAATTACCACCGGCAATCTGTGAGATGTCGTGAGCGGCGTCGAACGACCAAGAGGGTTCCGTGAGCTTGCTGAGGGAGTCGACCTGCGATCCTCCGTTCTCGTGCTCAAAGCCGTTTTTCTTACCTTCGCTACCCCCGTCCTCCGAGCCCGAAGTACTCTCCTCGACAGAAGAGTACAGATCATTGCCGAGGGAATCCTGCCCCCGGCTCACACGGGGTGCCACTCCTGCCCTGGCCAAGGCAGACGACACCTTGCGGGGTGCGCTGCCAATGGCACGACCGCCGTCCTCCGAGGGTGATTGGGACCCACCAGGGCTGCGGGAACCGGAGGAACTGCCAGACACGCTCCCCGCGCGGTTCCGGTAGCCTTCAACTAGGTCCCGCAGCTCCTGGTTACCAAATGCACGGTCGGAGCGACGGCGGTAGAACAGGAGGTAGGCACCCGATGTGATGATCGACTGCATGTTGGTGACAGTAGTCGCAGAGGTATCTGAAATGAATGTCAGTAAGATATCTCCCAATTAGCATATGGAGGGGGCATCGAACCGTTGCAATAGACCCAGGCACCGGAAACAAAGTCCTTGATGTAGGCAGTGTAGTGGCCACTACCCATTCCACCCATGTGGTTGTCGACAGCAATCAAATCGTACACCGCACTTTTTCCATTCGCGGGGCCTTCCACGCGGCTGCTCAAGTCTAGTCCCTCGAAGGGGAAGTCGATGAGAGTGCTGATCTTGTGTCCGTGCCTGCCACGGAATTGGCTAAATCGCTTGAGCTGGATGACCATAATATCCGGGGTTCTCCACAGCTCAAACTTCTTGGTGGCCGAAACGTGAGTTTTGCACTGAGGACAAAACCAGCTATCTGCGCGAGAAAGAATTTCCTCCTTGCTGAACTCGTCCAGGCATTGGTCGAGAGAGACATTTGTTTGCTTCGGCTTCTTCTGGCTTACCGCCATGGTATGATCATAGACATTCTTGATGCTCATGTAGGTAGGGCAGCCACGGAGCTCCTCGGGATCACGTAGCTTGCCGCCGAAAAGGGCATCAAATGCATCAGGAGTCCAGTCAAGGAGGATGGCATCACCTTGGTGAAGGAGTGGTAGTGCTGAATTTGGTGTGACATCTGATTCATCTGTATCAACGTCATCTTCGGCATTGTCATCTGCGGAGCTTTTGGATGAAGCATCGGATCCCTGGCAAAGATTAGCGGGTTGAATATGAATGGACAAGATGGAATAAACAAACCTTAGTAGAAGTGGGAGGAGATGGGATGCGAGAGGAAATAGAAGGGTATTTTTTCAGGGTAGAAATGTTGCGTCCATCAGGCAAAGTGGCATTTGTGCTCATGACTGTCGCATCGAAAAGTGACAACAAACTGGCAGGAATCTTGCCAGCAAGAGGATGCCGAGGGGATTCGACAGGTTCAGAGTCAGAATCCGACTCATCGGAGCCCTCTGCAGGCTTAGGCGCTTGCTTAGCTTGCATAGAAATGTCGACGATGCTGTCTTCGCCGTCAACAGAAGAAGTTTTGATTCGGGAATCTGCTGATCGTGCATCATCCTCGTTTGTGACCACGGTGTCAGAGTCATCAGCTGCATTGTCATCGGGACTTTTTTCTTCGACAGCCAGAATGTCGTGTGTAGTCAGATTATTGGCCTGGGTCAAGAGCTTGCGGTAGATTGCCTCGAGGTTCTGAGTTTCGTCACTAGAAAGACGTATGAAGGATGGGATTCCGAAAAGTTCACGAGTGGGCTCTCTGTCCTTGCGCGGAACAAGTTTGCGGTGGAAGACGGGTACAAGGATTGCATCACCATCGGAGGTAGTGTCAGAAGAGTTGGTAGATGCTGGAAGAGGACCAAGATCAAAGAACACAACGGTGTCTTCTTGGGAAATGCGTAGACTGCCGAAAGTATAGTCATCGTCGCAAAGAATTTGCCAGAAGGAATTGTGCAATGTTTCTGCTGCAAAGATTTGTTCTGCATCAACTCCCACCTTTTGACCGACAAAGTTCTTCCAGTCCTTCAAAGTATCATTTTCATCCAGGCGGACTTTCAGAGACACCGGTGGGCCATCAAGAGGGTAAAAGATGATTGTTCGATTGATCAGTGTTGGACCCGTTGGGATGGGCACAGTGACCATTGTGAAAGGATCCATGATGATGCTGGTCTTTTCACAACTGTGGCAGATCAATGTTGACTTGTACATTCCAGCGAACAGATCGGTGATAACGGAGGCGTTACGGGCCTCGTAGAGCTCCCAACACTTCCTTCCGAAATCCTCAAGAGCCTTGCGATCATGAATCATCTCATCAGTGGAATCAGGAATGACAGTGGATGGCTTGCTGCCAATGATCCGGCTTAGATCTTCCGACAGTGCATCAAGGAGAAACATCACAAATTCCTGACTATCATGTTGATCATAGCCAGCAAATTCTTCACGTTGCCGACCAGCGGCAGCCCGGAACCTAGAGGGGTTGACACATCTCGGCTGAGGGTCCGATTTGTAGAGCTCCTGAAGCAGGTTGGCCCATTGCTTGGCAATGGCGCCGCCGCATCCAAGGACGTTGTTGGGATTCAGCTCTGGTTTGTACAATCCACCTGGAGATTAAGATTAGCATCACGTTCGCAGTATCCAATAGTAAGATGAGTGTACTTACTAAGGAAGTAATAAGACAACTCCTCAATGCTTCGCACGCATTGCAACGCAGAGTTCATGTAACAAGTATTGCCAAGGTTTTGCAATCCCACGATGAGCTGTCGACCCTTCCGACCTCGAGAGATGAGCCCCCTGATTGGATCGGGAGCCAGTGTAGGGGTAGATCTGCCACTGGCTTGTGTGCTCTTCGGTGTGGCTTTTGCAACAGCTGCTTTGCTAGCAGCATCGTTCTTCGGCTGATCTACAGGGATACCTAGACTCTTGAGAGTTTTGGCAGAGGCTTCAGACACCCATTCTCCACCTTTGGAACCGCCGACCTGTTCCTCAAGAACAACACAATTCGCCGCGGCGAGACCAGCCATGTCCAAGGTCATGCGACCGTTGTAGTTGGCATTGTGGGTTTGATCCTTGACACCATCAAGCAACACTCGGTGGCCTCCCTCTGGAAGATCGAGAAAAGCGTTCAAATCGAAAAGAACCTTGTCATTGGGGTCAGAGATCAGAGCCAATGGAGGAGCTGGCGATTGGCTGCGGGAGACAGCTGGGGTTGCCAACGCTGAGGAAGTGGTGCTTTGGGGGAGCTGGAGGATTTTCCAAACCCGAACCTTGGTGGACATATCGATACCAGTCTGTTCTTTGGCATCCCTCAACCATTTTTGGTAATTCGTCTGGCGACTTGCCAGGATCTTCACAGATGGCTTGACGGTTTGTCTCAAGATGGTCGGTGTGGTACCCACAGCTGGGTTGGACAGTTTGAAAATGGTGAAAATTGGAGGATAAGTCTCATATTCGATATTTTCAGTATCACCGGGTTGGTTGGTGTTGTGAGCATAGCGAATTATGATGGGTGACTGGTCGGCGAGCCCGTACCATTTCTGGATCAAGTCCCAGCCATGTTGCGGAATGATTGCGAAATCCAGAGCGTCGTGCAAACCGGGGCGCATGGGTACGAAAACTTCACCAGTTTCGTCTTTGAAGGTGGGAGTGGCCGGGTCGGTGTCGAGCATTATATTCAAATTGTCGACGGGACCGACATCCTCCAATGGTCCTTTGTCCGTGTGATCAGCATGAGCCGTAGTACGTGCAAGCACCTTCTTTAGCCATGCCATTGACACAACAAAGCCCTTTTGTCCATCCTTCAGCGGCGCTGTCATCAACGCATTCACCTCAGCCACCTGGTCGTCGATCGTAGGGATATCGTCTGATTTGGGCGATACCGGCCTGGACCGCTCGCCGGCCGAGGATGCCGGCCCGGTCTTCTCATTGCTTGAAGTGGTAGGATAGGGGGGTTCATCGTTTGTGCCGTCGCATGTGCGGGGAATAATGTATGTGCGGGTGTTATTGAGGCCAGTGCTCACGCCTCCTTCAGGGTCAGAGTCGGTGATTTCGGATGCCGGGCGCTTTTCGCCGGGAGAAGGGGATCGTCCATGAGTTAGAGGTGTACCCTCTCGAGTATCGGAGGGCATGTCGGAATGGTCGCTGGAGAGGGTGAGTCCGGCGGTCGCGGTCGCGGGAGTGAGCGAGCGGCCAGGCGGACTTCCAGACTGAAACTGCAGGTGCGCAGGCACGTAGCGAGGCGGGGACAACGACGAACTCTGGCCGCGGGAGGAGGAAGAAGAAGACGTGTGGCGAGAGTGTGGAGGTACGGAGCGGCCGTGACGTTGAGCCCGAAGGCCTGGACTGGTGCGAGGCTCTGGGGAAACCTTTCTTCTCTTTGGGGAAGACGTCGTGGCGATGAGCTGCGCACCTCGTGTCGCAGCTCGGGGCAACCAGGGGAAAATAGTAGATAGGATCAAAGTAGCACCCTTACTTCCTTTTGGTGGAAGTACAAGGGGATTTGGTTGTGAACAAGCGAGTTCGACTGGCAGAAAATCCGAAGTTTAGTAATTTTTTTTCCGGAGCGGAAACGAAACCCTGGGCTATCCACAGGCGACCAGCGTCTGTAGATGAAGTGATGAAATGAAGATAAGATAATTGGTGAACAGAAAAAAAAAACGTAGGAGTACAAGTAAAAGAAGATATGAAAAGAACACGATGAAAAAGATGTAGGGGAAGAAGAGAGGAGAAAGATTGGAAAGAGCTGTGAAGGTCTTATACTTAAGGGCGGACTGTTCAGAGTATTTCGCTCAATGAGAGAGACTTGTGAATGGGATTGATTGAATAGCTATTGTGACTCACGTTTCTCTTAACGCGATTCTAGTTCTATTCCTATTGTGGGTTATTGTCATCTTAATACGGTGCTATTGATCCTATTGCGAACAATGGATTAGGGCACAATGCCCTCATTATCGCGAACGACTCATCAGATTAGACTTTGCAAACAAGTATGAGTTTGTTAGCACGTCGCTCATAAACAAGAAAATATTAAGATTATTTTGCATTGTCTCCAACCTAGCTGCTTTTTATAAGCAAAGCCAGCCATGGTGAGATAGATATGTACAATAAAAATAAGAAAGAAGAGAAAAAGAAAGCAAAACCTGTAAATCAACGCTCCTCCATGTAAAGCCTGTACATGGTGTTGTTCTCCGCTCCCGAGAGGATGAACTCCACATCAGCTCGGTAGGGTATAGGGTTAGACGGGTCACTGCGACCCCATGCAACAACAGCATTGAGATCACCTTTGAATCGCATGGTAAGGTCGAGACAGCAGTCACAGAGCATCAATCCACACCCACGGGATTCTTCGTCACAGTCTACTACCTCAGCGTAGACATTGACTGGTTGAACTGCCTGGCAAGACCCGAATGCGGGCTCCCGACACAGGCTGCACCATTGGTAAGGGGAAGTTCGGAAAACAGGACCAGCCTTGCCAGTCTCGGGGTCAGTCAGAGCTTCACTTGCTTCCTCTAGAAGTGCTGCAGCATCAGTCCGCATTTGGTCTTTCGTTGACAAAGGTACAGGTAGTAGATGGAGAGTGTCGTGGGAGCATTGTATGATTTTGCATCGATTCCATGTACAGAAGACGCACATCCGGCTCTGTTCTTTTCCTTCGGCAATGTGGCCATCCTGTAGCTCAATAATTGTGCCGTTATCTAATGTGCAGACCTCTGGATTGCGAGGACCGAGGCCAGTGATTCCATATGCAAAGTTGTTGCACCAGTGGCAAGGGGGATCTTCGTCCTGTTCATTTGCGAGAAACACCACAGGATGAGCAAGTTCAGTCCAGATTCGATGAGTGTTCACGTACTGCGAAGCGATGGTATTTGAGGGTGTGGTGCGAGTGGGTGACTCGAGGGAGTCAGAGATATAGATCGGTGAGTCCTGCCTCTTCGGGGTGTTCGGTGTTTCATCATCTGAATCAATGATTACAATCACCTCATGTGGCTTCGGTCCCCCAGAAACGGAGGGCTGTGCGCTGCTGAATGGGGGAGAGGAGGTCTCCCAAGGATTGTCCTTTGTGGAGTTGATCTCTGGAATCTGGGTCTTTGGTTGGATAGCTGGGGAACTGAGTTGTTCACTCAGTTTGGATACCTCAGAAACATCGGGCTCTGGGGTTCCATCGGTTGACTTGGAGGGTGCTGGAGAATAAACTGGAGAACTGCTTGGCTCGCTTGGTTCACTTGTGGCAAGGAGTGCAAAAGGTGCGTGTCTAGCTGGTCCAGCAACACATTCGAACCCATGATTTCGGCATGGGAGACAAGGTTGGGAATGGTCATCATCAGCGTAGTGATACGAACAAATCTCTTTGTTCTGCCCTTTGCAACACTCGCATGTTTGCTTCCATTTGGGTGGGGGGCTCACGACGCAAAAGACATCATCGATTTCACATATTGTGCAAGGATAGGCGAACGGATCGGGGTTAGATTTAAGCGAGCATTCAAGGCCTAGCTCTTGGCAGGCAGCGCACTCTCTCAGCGGAAGTTCGTTATCAGGAGGCAGGACATCCCCAGTCGACTCCGATGCCTCGGCCTCGACCTCGGTTGTGTCATTCGTTTGTGGTGATTCTGGCAGCACGTCGTCATTGTAGGTTTGAAGGCCGTACTGTGAATTCGGTGTGTCTGTCTCGGGATTCACGGTCCAGTATCTGTCCCAGCTGTCGGGCTCACTGTGTTGAGACGGTGTCCAAGGGGGGACATAATATTCACTTTCCGTGCCTGCGCTCATTCTCGAACGGAATATAGAAATCGGAGACAAGCTCCTGGCTCGCTTGTCTGATCGAGGGTCGTGATAATCCTCATGGAAAAGAGATAGCTTGCGCTTGGTCGGTGTTCTCTTGCTGGAAGGTTGGTAGTCTTTATCTTTGTCATTGTCATGCCATGACCCAACAACAGCGGCACGCTTGAGGGCACGCTCTCGCAAGTGATATGGCCCAGCGAGGTGTGGGAGCATGCAGAATTTGCTCATGCTATGTTCAAAGATCTGCTGGGCTCGCTCTAGTCTCCCTGGAGAGTATGACATGGTGGCTACGAGCTGTGAAGAAGCTGCTGTCACATTAATAAGTGTCAAAATCGTAATAACCGCAAGCAGTAAATACTTACAGGTTGTTTAGATTAAACCAACCGAGGAGTTTTGTCACTTTGGAAGCCACACCTCGGTTCCTCGAAGAATGAAAATGGAGGCCGTGGCTCAAGTGATGGGTTTGATTGACACCTATCAATGCGAAGGTGCCCTGAAACGCTTGGGAGATGCGAAAAATATGTATGAAGATGGATAGATGGTCGAATGTTCAAGTGACGGTAGAACAAGGAATGTTGATATCAAGCATTCAATGGCTCGAACTGTACGTTAGTGAATAAGAAGTGAAGATTAGATGATATCGATGTAAATATTGACGGCAGTCTGTAGACAGTAAAATAAATAAAAGGAAGTGGAGGGGTCTCAATAGCAGGAACAATTGATTGAATTGAATTATATTGAATTACATTCATGTCTCGATGGGAACTTGTAGCAACATGAGACAATAGCCTTTGGATCGCAGAATAGTAATACTACAATCAATAGCAATTCCCACATTCAACGCAGACCGCAAAGCCGACACCATTCCCCACCCATTATATCAATTCACCCGGGACAGGATTCATGTGTCACTTGAAATTACTCGTCACGCTCATAGAGGGGGCGGGGGAAACGACACCCTTCGTGGGTATAGTGACATGGGACTTGGTCAAAAAGGTAGTTTGTGTAGGATCTATGAAGATATAAATGGGAGCAGTCTGGATAGGGGATGCCGTGGCAGTAGACCAAGAGATCTTGGAAGAGTCGTCAGGCATGTTATCAAGGCGCGTTGGTGTATCGCATTCTCGGCGTCAGGCTTTGTTATTTCGAGCTTTGCTAGTCTGTCCTTTTCAATGAACCACGCTGTAATAAATATAACGGCGACCAGCCCGAATCCAACTAAAAACCTCAATCCTATTGGGAGTCGCTTCCAATGAGACGAACATCCCCAGCAGTACCTGTAGCCGTATCGTGGTAACCGACGGGATTGTAGATGATGAGGAGATATCGCAGCTGTAATTCGAAGACCTAGAAGGCGAGATAGATTCAGCGTCCAAATCAAGCTTTTCTGAGTGGGTAAAGCTGGCGTCTATGTTAACAGAGTCTCGATCTTCGTGATGTTAGCTTTGATTTCTCTGAGCTTTGCTCGACACACCAACCACATAGAATGTCATCCATTTGGTAAGACCACACTCGGTCAGATCGCATATCGGTTCGACTGTCCGCCATAGTAACTATAGGTAGATTAGGCTGGAGGGAGCGAGTGGATCGTATTTTCTTCTGTATTGAGATATAGAGGGTGACAAGTGTTGGAAACAGAAACAAAGTGTTCTGGGTTAGACATGCATATTGGGTGGGGCAACATCCTACTAGTCGGCTATAGTATTCGATGAGCTCCTCATTGGGAATAGGAGTGCGGGTTCCGACCTTCTTCAGTCACGGAGCATCAAAAGTGACCACAACATTACCTAGGTCAGTCTCCATATCAATGCTATAGCTCAACGAAAAACCATAAGTCTGTCTAGGATTTAGTTGGTAGAGAGGAAGACAATAGAGTATGTCGTAGACCTATTAAGCAACTACATAACGTCTGTCCAGAATATTTTAAGGTTGATTAATGCCTTAGATCCTCAGAATCCTAAACCATTCATTTTGTACAGTTCAAAAGTCAACTAATTATGAGATTGAACTTTAATTTATGTGAAATGGGTGTCTGAAAAATTCATTGATGGTCACATGGAAACACGGTACATTGTATTAACACGAAACCAGACAGACAACTGAAGAGAAGGACAAGCAGTGAAAAACAAAACCCAAGTAGCGCCTGTAATGCAGTCAGTGGCAATATGTGAGGTCAAAGCACTTTGATTGAGCCACAGCCGTTCGTGAATGCGCCAGGGTATCCATCCATCAAGTGGAGATGCAATAATAATAAAAGAACAGAGAAGATGGCAGCGCCGCAGTTATACGCCCCATCCCATGCAAATAGAAAATATGTAACCAACAAGGAAACTTTTGATAGACAAAAGAAGAAAATCATTGGCCACTCGAGGCCCGGAAATCATACATGCGAACTTGGTAGTCATCACCACCAGTGATGAAGCGGCTGTCGCTCAAGCCAATGCAGTTGACAGCTGCGCTGTGACCTTCATAGGTATCTTGGCCAGTAGGAACACGAGGATCCCAGATCTTGACCATGCGATCCATGCCACCAGAGGCAATCCGCAGAGTATCAGCAGAAAGAGCCCAAATACCCTCCAAATGTCCGAAGAAGGTACGAAGGCATCTTCCAGTGCTTGTTTCCCACAGTCGGATGGTTGTGTCTACACCGCTAGTGATGATATAGCGCGGGGGTTCAACGCGGCCTTGATCCTGGTCAAAGGAGGAGCCGAATGGTGAGTTCTGGAGAGACAGAGACTTGGCCTCGAGAAGAGGGGAAAGTGTGCTCAGGATGTTGTCGCCGTTTTGAGAAGATGTGCTGACGTGGTCGTTCTCGCAGTCGGCGAGGTGGTTCTCCAGTTCAATTTCTCGAGGCAAAGCAAGAACTTGCTGAACGGCCCCAATGTGGTTATGGAAGACTCGGATGCAAGTCTTGGTGTCTAAATCCCAAAGGCGTGCGGCACCATCGTCACAAGCAGTCAGAACCGTGCGCGAAGCCGAGTCAATCTTGACAGCGTTGACTCCCTGTGGGTGTGGTAGAACGAAAGTAGATTTGTCCTTGAAATTCCAAATTTTGACAGTGCGATCGACAGAGGCGGACGCAAGAAGAGTACAATCAAAGTGGAGAGCAATGACCGCTTCAGCGTGGCCATTGTATTTGGAGATACATTCTCCTGTACGCCAGTTCCAGATTCTGATGCTGCGATCCAGACTACCAGTGATCAATTTGGTGTCATCAAACTGGAGGCATCGCACTCCGGCAACGTGGCCTTTGAGAGTTCTCAGTTCTTCGCCAGTGTCTGTGTCCCAGATCTTGACCGTAGCATCATAGGATCCAGTCATCAAAATGTTGTCCTCGAACTGCAGACACATGACACTGTCTCTGTGGCCCTTGAAGACCTTGACTGAGCAGCGCTTGTGCTTCCAATTCATACCGACAACAAATCGATCCCGATAAACCTCCTTCCACGGACGGTAACGAGTCTTGAAATAATTGTCATCCTCTTCAGGGGACTGGGGAAGCGATGCACAATGGCGCTTTGCAAGGACGGAGACTTCATCGGATTCCATCTTGCGTTTGCCACTGACTCTAGGTTCTTCGACCGTCGAGCAAGATTCGACCATTGCGGCTTCAGTCGACCCAGCGGCAGGCTCGTTGTTGCCCCAGTTGGTAGCGCGCAATTCGATCTCGCGCTTGGCTTCACGCAGACGCTTGCGATCTAGAAGGGGAAGGCCCCAACCACACTTGTTACACTTTCGGCGGATATGTTGTTCGCACATCCGGTGCCAAACCACATCATCATCGGCGAGGGCTCTCCAGCGGGAAGAAACTTGTGCTGCTCTGCACAAGGAAGCCGTGTCGAGGTAACGCAGAATTTTGAAGGATAGCTCCGGAGGAAGGGCACCGAGGAAATCAATTCGGATGAGTTCGCGGACACTGGCGGAAATGTAGGATAGTTGGGGGAAGCAGGACTGCGCCAGAATTCCCTGGAGCATGAGAGTTCGCTGCTTCGCCGGAGCAGCGGAGAACAACGACCACACATGGGAAATACCGCGTTGATCACATTGAGGAAGTAAGTTCAGCTCAGATTGCAGCTGGGTCATCGACTGTTCATCGGCTTGGCGTCTGCCGCATTTTGAGTCCGGTTGATGCCGATAGCAGTAGCTGGCATTTACTACATGGTGCTCAGACGAAGCGGAAACCTGTGAGCGCAAAGGCGCATATTGTCGTGGCTGATATTTTTCGAGGAACGGGGCCACATTTTGCCTGCCTAGTTCGTCCAGGGTTTGGGTGGTATTGTCGGTGTTTTTGCCCGGCGGAGAGCGGTTGGAGTCGGCGTTCGCACTGACCCCCGCATTTGCGATGACCAGGCTCTGCTGCGTGGACGAAGATACTGGTTTATCGGCCATGATGGCTGATCTGGTCTCGCGGGTGTGAGGGGACGGCCGCTCGGGCGAGTGACGGTCGTGTCTGATGTACCGAGATAAGAACCAGTCGGTTTTGCGTATATCCCTAATCTCTTGGGTTGAATTGAATATTTTGAGCACGTAGAAAATATGTCAATCAATGTCGCGATGTATGTCCTTGAGAATTGCTCGACGATCAGGATAGAGGGGGGTCAAGGGCTACTGATTCAACCTTGGAAGTACCCTGAGAGGAAGTATTGAGATAAGAGCGATATCGAGCTTCCAAGGTTGGCAACTGAATTCCACTTGAATGATAAAGAGAAAGAAAAAAAAAATGGATCGACAGAGGCTTTTAAATCAGATGATTATTCAATGTCTGAGAAAATTGCACAATTCGGATGTGTCTTTGATATCGCCATCGATCAGTCCGGGGAATTATTGCGTGACAGGGGCAGAGCGGCAAATACGTGATCTGGGCGGTGAGGCTGCACGTGACAATGATCCGCATGTCGCCATCTCCACGCCATCGCACCTCAATCAATCAGTTCCTACGCTTCCGACAGGTTGATTCGCTATCATTTGGTGCGACAGGGGTGAAACGGACCATTTGATATTTGTATGATTTCAGGCTAGTCCCGCAGCCATCTCACACCGACAACTCACACTTTGTGAGACCCACTGTCCCTAGCTTTCTTGGTTACACGGATCTACGGAGCAAACCTTCTGTGAACCGCTTGCCGTACAATTTACGTCTTACCCTGGGAATCAGGTCTCGACCGAGAAAGCCTCAGGCTGTTTTTCATCCCTTTATTCGCAAGTCATTTCTGGGCTAGAGCTCGTGCTTCACTTTGGGTCCGCCGTGTAGAGCACGGCCCTGGCTCATTGTACCGAGCTTC